AGAACTGAAAATCACCAAATCTCCACATCCAGACAATGAGATGCTAGACCCTTCATTCATCATGATTGCTTCCTTGCCCCTCTTTAGTTTGTTTTGTTACACATTGTGTCATTTCTTCCTTGCTATATAAAACCCTAGTTTTAGTTGGTCGGGGAGATGGATTTGTCAGCCACAGCACCTGATTAAAACGTTCCTCCTTGACAATATACTTGTCTCCTCTGTCACTGGCTTTCTGTGTGGTGGGTGGCCAGACCTAGACTGAACCTCTCATGTTTTGGTGACAGTATCAGTACAAAAATAGGCAAAGCCCAGAAAAGGAGCCATCAGTGTAGATCGTTAATTTATGACTGAGGTGGAACTAGAGAAAAGAGTAGAAAGAATGACCTTCTCATAATGGTCATGGGGTAGCAAGATATCCCATGGGGTGAAAGACAGAAACTCGACACAATACTCCTACTTCACCCCACACAGAAAAGGCAATTACTGGGCCCATAGGTCTAAATATGAAGGAAAAAAATAAAATTTATAAATGATAAAAAGTAAATATCTTCATGACATCAAGATAGAGAATGGTTTCTTTAAAAGAACACAAGGTCGGGCACGGTGGCTCACGCCTGTAATCACAGCACTTTGGGAGGCTGAGGAGGGCAGATTACCTGAGGTCAGGAGTTCAAGATCAGCCTGGCCAACATGACGAAACCCCACCTCTACTAAAAATACAAAATTTAGCCAGGCGTGGTGGCACACACCTGTAATCCCAGCTACTTGGGAGTCTGAGGCAGATGAATGGCTTGAACCCAGGAGGCGGAGGTTGTAGTGAACCAAGATCTAGCCACTGCACTCCAGCCTGGGCAACAGAGCAAGGCTCCATCACAAACAAAAAATAATAATAATAAAATAATAAAAGAACACAAATAACACCAACCACAAAGAAACTAATTCATAAGGGTGCTGTGTTAAAATTAAAATCTTCTGTCTTAACCCCGCCTCCCAAATAGAGACCATTAAGGAAGTGAAAAGTCAGACACTGAATGAGAGAGGATATTTGTAGCACGATGTCCTCAAGTACCTTTTCCACAGTATCTGCCATCCCACATGCTGTTCTGCGTGCGACCTTGCCTCCCTCTAATAATCGTGGGGAACACGTCCCCTAGGCAGGCTGTGACTTCTTTGAGACTATCTAGTTTCCACCTAGTTCTCTTGGATAGTCACTCTGGGGCAGCCACCTGCCGCACAAGAACTTCACCTAGCGTGGGGTTGCCATGCTGGAAAGGCAGTGAATGCGCGCACTGGTTGGCAGCCCCAGCTGAGCTTCCGGACAATAGCCACTCCAACCACCAGGCATCGAACCCAGCTAAGTAAGCCCTTGTCAAATTCCTGACTCTCAAAAGCATGAGCAAAATGAAATAGCTGCTGCTTTGCCCCACAACATCTTGGAGTACTTCGTTATACAGCAATAAGAAAGGAACTAACAAGAGATTCATATCCAGAATATATAAGGAACTCCTACAAATCAATAAGAAAAAGACAGATGGGGAGTGGTAGTTAAGGAACAAAAGACTTGAAATCTACATGGCCAATTATAAAAATGTGCTCAACCTCAAGGGTAATTAAAGAAAAGTTAATAGATCAGGCATGGTGGTTCCCCTCTGTTAATCCCAGCACTTTGGGAGGCTGAGGCAGGTGGATTACCTGAGGTCAGGAGTTTGAGACCAGCCTGGCCAACATGGTGAAACCCCGTCTCTACTAAAAATACAAAAATTAGCTGGGTGTGGTGGTGGGCACCTGTAATCCCAGCTACTCCAGAGGCTGAGGCAGGAGAATTGCTTGAACCCGGGAAGAGGAAGTTGCAGCAAGCCAGGATGGCGCCATTGCACTCCAACCTGGGAACAGAGTGAGGCTCTGTTTCAAAAAAAAAAAAAAAAACACCTAATGAAACCACAATGAGATGCCAACGCAAACCAACTAGAATGGCCACATTTTAAAAACCAAACCTGACAATACTGTAGGTAAAGGTGTGCAGCAATGGTAACTGCTTACACTGCTATGAACATGCAAAATAGTACAAATAACTTGAAAAACTACTTGGCACTGGCTACCAAAACTGAAGACAGCATATGTACACCAGGAAACATACACAAGAGTGTTGTGGCAAAAGTTGGAAACTGGTAACCACTCAAACTTCCATTAATAGTAGATGGACAGGCCGGGCGCATTGGCTGACGCCTATGATCCCAGCACTCTGGGAGGCCGAGGTGGGCGGATCACGACGTCAGGAGATCGAGACCATCCTGGCTAACACAGTAAAATCCTGTCTCTACTAAATATACAAAAAGTTAGCCAGGCGTGGTAGCGGGCACCTGTAGTCCCAGCTACTCAGGTGCTACTCGGGAGGCTGAGGCAGGAGAATGGCATGAACCCGGGAGGCGGAGCTTTCAGTGAGCCGAGATGGCACCACTGCACTCCAGCCCGGGCGACCAACGAGTCTCAAAAAAAAAAAAAAAAAAAAAGTAGATGGACAAATTGTAGTGTATCATACTGTGGAAAACTATGAAGTTACAAAAATGAGCAAAATATAGGTTATCATAGCAATATAGAAGAATCCCACTAATGGTGTTGAGCAAAAGAATATCAATGGTATGAATGCATTGAGATAAAGTCAAAAAAAAAAAAAATGCAAAATGTTAGCTAAACAGTAGGGACACATAAACACACAGACAAGAGTAATAGACACTGGAGACTCCAAAAGCAGGGAGGGAGGGAAAGGGGCAAGGGCTGAAAAATCACCTTTTGGGTAGAGTGTCTACTGTTCAGGTGATGGGTACACTAAAAGCTCAGACTTCACCTGTACACAATATATGAATTAAGAAATCTGCACTTATGTCCTCTAAGTATACTTTAAAATTTTAAAAGCATATTCTGGCCAGATGCAGCGGCTCATGCCTGTCATCCCAGCACTCTGGGAGGCTGAGGCAGGCAACTCACTTGAGCCCAGGAGTTCCAGACCAGCTTGGGCAACATGGGGAAAACCAATCTATGCAAAAAATTCACGGGGCATGGTGGCGCACACCTGTGGTCCCAGTTACTTGGGAGGCTGAGGTGGGAGGATTATTTGAGCCCGGTGGGGGGTCAAGGCTGCAGTGAGCAGAGATCATGTGCCACTGCACTCCAGCCTGGGTGACAAAGTAAGACCCTCTCTTTAAAAAAAAAAAAAAAAAAAAAAAAAAAAAAAAAAAAAAGTATATTCTGGGCCAGGCACAGTGGTTCACTTCTATAATCCCAGCACTTTGGGAGGCTGAGGTGGGCGGATCACGAGGTCACAAGTTCGAGACCAGCCTGGCCAACATGGTTAAACCGCCATCTCTACTAAAAATACAAAAATTAGCCGGGTGTGGTGGCAGGTGCTTGTAATCCCAGCTACTCAGGAGGCTGAGGTGGGAGAATCTCTTGACCCCGGGAGGCAGAGGTTGCAGTGAGGTGAGATCGTCCCACTGCACTCCAGCCTGGACAACAAGAGAGAGACTTCGTCTGAGGGGGGAAAAAAAAGTATATTCTGAGAAGAAAAAAAGCAAAACATACATTTTGGTGATAAAATGATAAAGAAAAGCAGGGAAATGATAACGCCAGGGTAGTGGCCATGTTTGGGGTTAGTGAGGGGTCTGTGATGGGTGGTGAGGGGATGTGGGGATGTCATTCTATGTCCCTTGGCCTGGGGAATGGAAACGCAGATGCTTGTTGCTTTAAAATTCAGGTTTATAATATGCTGATATATTATGTACTTTCCATAAGTGTGTTACATCTCATAATAAATCTTTCAAAGCTAAAAATAATCAATATATGATTGATAAATACCTAACTTCATGTATCATTTGGTTACCTAGTTTCCCCAACCTTATTTATTAAATTTTCTAAACTATCCTCACTGATTTGCGATTCCAGCTTAATAATATAGCCAATTCTTACCTGGGTTTGAGAGAGCTAGTAGTGGTTATCGAAAATCTGCTCTTGCTTTTTGGCGAGGATGAACGGGCTTTGGGGGGCGGGGGTGGGGGGATGGAAAATGTGAATGAAACGAAAAGCAGGGAGGGAGGATGAGACAGTCATGGTCATGGGCTTTATTATTAAACAGGAAAAATCTAGAGACAAACTGAAAAGAGAACGGAAGTCTGTGAGAGGGTTGCCAAGTCAGAAAGCAAAAGCAAAGTGTCGCTTTATTAAAAAGGTGGGGGCGGGTCCTGATTGAGCTGAGAACAAAACATTTGGGAGGGTTCTAAAGCTTGGAGGCCAGGCCTGCAGGGTGGGGGTGGGTTATCCCGGGTGTCCCGCTCAAGGGTGCAGCTTCCATCGGCACTGTCCATCGCCACTGTGCAGGTAGTTAAAGACTGCTGAACGGGTTTTGTTTGCTTTTGTTTTTGTTTTTTTTTGAGGCGGAGTCTTGCTCTGGCTCCCAGGCTGGAGTGCAGTGGCTCGATCTCGGCTCACTGCAACCTCCTTCTCCCGGGTTCAAGCGATTCTCCTGCCTCAGTCCCCCGAGTAGCTGGGATTACAGGCGCGCACAACCAAGCTCGGCTTATTATTTTATTTATTTATTTGTTTATTTTTGAGACTGGGTCTCCCTATGTTGCCCAGGCTGGCGCCAATATTTTCAAAGATTTAACATACCGCTATTTTTACATGCACTGCTTTTTTGCTTACTCTAGATTTTATTGATGGAAAGAAAGGACAGAAAAGGGCGCGTGCCGCATTTTGTGCCCCTTGCCCACCAGGCTCCATTCCCTCCGGAGCGCACACCGAGGCCGTCTGCGTTACCCGCGTCCCCGCGCCCGGAGCCGCCCAGGAGGGGGCCCGGACCCCGCGGTGCAGAGCGCGCACTGCTCGGGTGGACCGGACGCCCCGCGGCGGGCTGGGAGGGACCGGGGGGAAGGGGGGGCGCGGGGGCGGCCTGAATCCCTGGCCCGCCTCCCCGGGCCCCCGCCCCGCCCCGCCCCGCCCCGGGCCAGCCCGCGCCCGCGCCCGCGCGGACACTTTCAGCCCCGAGCCGCGGCCGCTCAGGTCGGACCCACGCGCAGCGGCCGGAGATGCAGCGGGGCGCCGCGCTGTGCCTGCGACTGGGGCTCTGCCTGGGGCTCCTAGACGGTGAGCGCGGGGCCGCCGGGGAGGGGGACGGCCGGGGAGGGGACCGCGCACCTGGGGCGGGCGCTGAGACCGCTCCGATGGGGACGGGCGGGGGACACGGTGGCCCCGGTGCGCGGACGCCTGAGGGAGCACGGCGCTCGGGGCCCGGGACCTCGGGATGAGGAAAGGGCGGGCGGGGACTGCAGCCGGGTCAGGGCCAGGGCGGCCGGGCCGCGCCTCGGCGCAGGGTTCGCCCTCCCGGCCCCGAATCGGCTTCTCCGTGGGTGGCTCCGGGTCCTCCAGCCGGGCCCCGTCGGGCTGCGCGCTGAGCCTGGATCCTTCGTGCCCTTCCTCGCTTCCCCGCGGGGTCTCTGCGCCGCGCCGCTGGCCCGACCCACGCGCACCGGAGATCCTGGCCATCCCGGCCCCAGACCCGGGTGCGCACTTCCCGACGCCCGACGTCTCCGCTCGCGGGCGGTCCCCCAGAGGGCGCTCGAGCCGGGCTTCCACCTCCCGCGGCCGGGGCTGCGGCGCAGGGGCCGGGACTCCCGTGCGCAGGAGGCAGACGGGTGCGGGTGCAGGTGCCGGTGCAGGTGCGGGTGCGGGTGCCGGTGCAGGTGCGGGTGCAGGTGCAGGTGCAAGTGCAGGTGCAGGTGCAGGTGCAGGTGCAGGTGCGCGCTGGGACCTCAGAGGAATCTTGAGGCGGCGAATCGTGGGCTGTCAGCGCGGCAGAAGGGGCGGAAGGCCAGGGGTCCCCGGATTTGAGGGGACAGGGGCCTTGAAGGCCGGCTGAGGAGCAGAGGCCCCCACGGGAGGGTCCCCTGCCCAGGAGAGGCGGGGTTCGGTTTGTGTTGGGAATGTGGCTCTGTCAGGGAGGGACCCAGACCTGAGGCGGAGGCGGAGGGGTTGGAGAGAGGGACTGGGGGGGATGAGGGAGGGGCAGAGGGAGTGGATGGCGATGTCAGGATAGGTAGTGGATGGCGATGTCAGGGAGGAAGCTGAGAAGATGAGCTGGGAGTCCACACGGAGCTGGTGTCCCTGGAAATCAAAGGGTGGAAGAGCGGGGTCAGGGGTTCCAGTGTCTGAAAGGCGAGTGCCGGGAGCTCTGAAGCCGGCGATGGGGACCTCAACATTTCTGCAGCCATACGAATCAAATACTGGCTTTACATGCTTGTAATTCCCACAGGGAGTGTCAGACTCATTTTACACATGGAGAAGCTTAGAGCAAGGACGTGTGTCACTTCCCCAAGATCCCCAGGAGGCCCAAAGGAAGCCCGACAAAGCCTGCCTTCTGCCCACCACCTGTATGTCCACTGGCTGAAGGGCAGAGGCCAGGAGAGGGGACAGGTCTGGCTCCACCAGGGGAGGAGGGAGGAGAACGTCCGTCTGGGCCCCTGAGTCGGGCAGGTCAGATCAGGGCGCTGCCCTTGGCCCTCCTGGACCCAGCCCAGGACCAGGCTCTCACAGGTGCTCAGGATGTATTTGTGAGTGGCTGTTAGAGCTTGGTTGGACTGCAGGGCTGTAGAATGGGAGACACTTAACCCAGAGGAGACATGGGATGGGCGCCTGAGTGCAGTGTCTGAGGCTGAGCTGAGGAGCTGGAGAGGAAGCAGAGAGACCCAGGAGGGGACCCTGGAGGAGGGGCCCAGAGGCAAGGGGGCTTCCAGGGAACATTCTGCAGGTCTCAGGAGAACCAGGAGGGGCCAGTGTCCTGTGCTCCCGGGTGGAGCACAGCGGGATGTGGGGTGAAGGGTGATGAGGCCATTTTCTGCAGTAGGTGCAGTGACTTAGCGACCCAGTTATGAAGAGGAGAGAGGGCGTAAGGTGGGGGCCCCATGGAGAGGGGTGTCCTGGGCTGGACCTGGGTTTGGCTGGTGGGGAGATGGCAATAGAGACTGAGGTCATCCCTCCCTGAGCCCTGCACCTTGCTCTGCCCCTTGCTAGGCTGAAGGCCCCGGGAGCCCCCAGCTTGATGGGGGATGCCATGGCGGGAACACAAGCCCTCAGCTGCAGTCGGGTGTCAGGGCAGCTGGAATGGGAGCAGGCCGGAAGCCTGAGCACCCTGAAGCTGACCCCTTAAACGTGTGCTGTTGGTCATAGAACCGGACTTGTCCTGCCTCCCCCGTAAAGTCATTTCTGTGTGACCTGGGCCCCCTCCTTTCCCCTCCTTGCACCTCAGTTTCCCCAAGCATAACCATGGCATAAGCTGGCAAGCACCGGGGTTGTGTGGGTTGTGTGTGCTTGGGCTGGACTCCAAGACTCGGTTTCCTGCTTCAGTTCCACAGTCTTGCCCTGGTGGAGAGGGTAGGTCACAGATGTCTCTCGGGGCTTCGTCTAGAGAGAGGCCATTGGCACCTCTGCACTGTGGCTGCCAGCTTAGGGACATGCAGGAGCAGGGTCTGCTGGGCATCTGGAGTGGCCTGGTCTCGGGATGTTTGCCCTTGCTGTGAGCTGAGTCACACAGGCCCAGGAGTGGACAGATGTGTGCCCAGGGATGCAAGTCAGTGCAGGCAGAATGTGGGGACCAGGCCCACTTTACTTGTGCCTGGGGACCTTCTGCTGCAGCTCAGGACTCTGAGGACTCGAATGCAGGTGCTGTTCCCTCCTCCACCAGGCCTGTGGCAAAGCGCCAGTGTAGCTAAAGGGGTCCTGTGCCCTCCCAGAGCAGCCCCACATGGCTGGGCCCAGACAGGGTGTGAGGTGTGATATGTGGTCTGTCTGGCTAATTCTCCACCGTGACCCCCAGCAGTGGCACCCCGACCGAGGGAAGGAGCCTGCAGTTCTATGCAAGACCCCAGCATAGTGCCTGTTCAGGGTGGCCCAGGGAGGACTTGGACCTGGCCCCATCCCACAGGGGTTTCCTGTGCCTTGCAGGGACACATGCTATCAGACGTCTATTGCCCAGGGATGAAAGTGTTCAGGGGCCCTGGTGAGGCCCAGCTGGTGGCTGTAAGCTGCACAGGAAGGCAGTGTCGCTTCCAGCTAAGGGCTTCCTGGTGGGGTCTGCAGAACTCCAGGACAGGGAATTCCAAACAGGGCAAAGAACCCCGTGAAGTCTCAGAGGCAGGCAAGTCCAGATGGTGAATGTGGCCAAGTGAGTCGTCCGGTGAGGCTAGAGTCTGGGAGGAGTGGATGGGAGGTGGGGGAGACGAGGCTGGAGACGGGGCAGCGCCAGCAGCAAGGAGGCTGGTGTCCAGGGGAGACAGGAACTGCAAGTGGATAACCCAGGGGATAAACTGGGGCGGAGGCAGGTAGCAGCGGGGGATGGTGGGGACGGAGGGTCTCAGGTCTCTGACTTCAAGGATAGTTTATCAAAGGGAGACCCTGGAAGAGGAGCAGGGCCTCGGGGTGGAGGTGTCCAGTGGGATTTCCTGGGAGGCCTCAGCTGATGCAGCCAACCAGATAAGGAAGGAGGAAAGTTGGGAGCACTTGAGTGCGATGCGGCAGAGGGGAATGGGGGAACCCCGGGAAATTAAGTGAAGTCAGCTGCAAGGGGAGGTTCTTCTCTGTGTCTGGCTCACTCCCCTCCTGCTGTCTTTTGGGTATTTTCCTCCACAGGGCAGTTTTCTCTCCGCCAAGGAGTAGCCTGTGCCCCACGTTCCTCTGAGATGCCACTCAGAGTTGGGGGTGGGCAGGGAGAGGGGTCTGGAGAGCCGCTCACACCCCCTAGACTCTGAGCAAGATTCAAAGTGTCCAGCTGGAGCCGGGGATTCCTGAGTTTCGATCCTTTTCAGACTCTGGCTTCCTCTGGAATCCGGGTTTTCCGGTCACACTGAGGAGACAGGTCTGGAGCAGGAAGGTGCAGGCGTTCATTCCCGGTGGGGGAGCAGGGGCCAGCCCTGGCCAGGCTGGACGGGGCTCACCGCAGGCACACTCCCGGCCCCGTCTGAGGCCCACAGCACCCTAGCCTGCAGCCAGGCCTGGGCAGATCCAGGTGGTGAGTCTGGGGCCCCGCCACGTGGCCAGCGAGGTCAGCAGGGGTTCATGGGAAAGGACTTGTCGGCCACAGGAGAGGACATCCTGCTGCGTTTCCCTCTTCCTGCGGCAGGAGCTGGTGGCCCCGATTTAGCAGCACTGGGGGGCCACCTCTGCGCCAGCTGGGTTGTCTGATAACGCCGCTCGTCCTGCCGGCCAGCAAGTAGAGCCCTGACCCCACGGAAGCCAGGGAAACTGCGTGGCAAAGCGGGCTGCCCCACGGCAGTCCTGTGCTGGGAGCTTAGCATCTGCTCAGGCCCCCTCCTCCTGGTCTCCACCCCCACGGGGTACTCAGGCAGCCCATGCTCCCCGCGGGTCCAGCCCCTCTCAACCTCATCGCCACTCCCTGCTTCCAGCATCTTCCAGAAATTTGTCTCCATTCTGCCCCAAAGGGACTGACATAAAATACGAATCTGAGCCTTCAGGCCACCCCCCCGCCCCCACTCACCCACAAGATAAGCACCAGCTTCTTGGGCTCGTGGTACCGGCCCTTCCTGCTGGAGTCCCAGGCCGTCCCTAGCCCCACGTCCACCCAGCCTACACTCACTGCACACACCAGCCCTGGCACCATGGCCTTTCACCCGCTCTGGACACGCCCTTTGGGAGACTGTGGGAACTCCAGGCAGACAGGGTGCTAAGGGGCCTTCCAGGGCAGGTGAGGGCTTCGTTCCCGCTCAGTGTGCCTCTGGGAGCACAAAATTCAGACTCTCAGGTGGGTTTAGGGAAGCCCTTATCACCACCCAGCTCAACACACTGGCCTCAAAGCTCCTCTAAATTCTACCAAATGGAGATGGATTTGTTTGAAGCAGCAAGCGTGCACACACACACAGATGTGGAGTGTCTGGCAACGAGCCACACCTCAGTGTGAAAAGGTTTCTCAGATTGCTTCACAGCAGGGCGTGTACAGGTTTTAACCTTGCCACACAGACCTTATTATTTTGGAGATTCGAAAATTAAGGCTACAAGAGTGAAACGGCTCTCTAGATAATAGATGGCTTATTTCGGGGAGGTAATAGGTGTCTGGTATCTGGTTCCAAATAGCACAG